TTATTGACAAGGGCTATCCACCTGTAACTATCTGTTAATGACAGAAAACATTATTGCCGCTGTAATTATTTATCAAAAAATTGTAGAAGAGTGCTTTTTGAATATCAAAAATGTTCGTAATTTGACAAAAAGATCGTAATTTTTCTTTTTGAATGCTTAAGTATTCCAATATGCAACCAATTAAACATGGAGCAATTTCAAAATAATCCTTAATAGCAAAGTTGAAATTCGGTCTTAAACTGTTAATATCTTCTAGAAATTTTCGAAAAAAAAATTTTCTATATTTTTCTCGTACTCCCCAAGTAAGCCTCCATCACGCCTTAAAAGGAATTACGCCAATTTTAAATCACCCTGTATATTATTACATTTTTGAATTTCAGTCCACATTTTGAATATTTTTATGTATCCCTAGATCTAGGTCTAACCGTTTGGATATACATATTTCAAATTTTATGCAAAAAATGACAGTTGCAGGCACTAGAATAATTATTAAATTTTTATTTTATTATTATTTCTTACTTAATTTGTTATTATTACTTACTTATTTCTTGTTGAAAAAGATTGACTTTAATAAAATTTCGATAACATTTTGATAACTATTAATACAAAGTGTAAAAAAATAAATTCAAAAGAATGTTGAGAAAACCGCCCAGAATCCATTTCCCATTTTTGGTAATTTGATCTTATTCAATATTAAAATAAGGGCAAGTTTATCTATTCCAGAAGTGTTTAGTTATCGAAATATTGTCAGTTTGATGACTTTTATACAGGGTGATTCAAAATTGGCCTCATTCCTCTGGAGGAATCCTCTCGGGGTGTCTTGGGAGTACAGAAAAAATAGTAAAAAAGATAAATGTTATTAAAAACTCAGATATTTGTTGTATACTACTCAGGTATTGAGCAGCTTCTCGTGTTCGGTTAATTAACTGTTGCTCAATTTGAACCGGCGTTGAGCAAATTCGCTGTTGATTTACATTTTGTGACAGAAGCTTCAAAATAAGCCACAATGCAAAAACAAATGCTTGTTATTATTGACAAAGGCTGTCTATTGCCATACATTACATATTTGCCGCTTTGACTTTTCATCAAAAAGTTGTAGAAGAGTACTTTTTTAATATCAAAAATGTTCGTAATTTGACAAAAAGGTAGTAATTTTTCTTTTCGAATGCTTAAGTATTCCAATAAGCTACCAATCAAACGTGGGACCTTTCAAAATAATGCTTAAAAACAAAGTTGAAATTCGATCTTCAACTGTTAATATCTTCTTAAAATTTTCGAAAAAAACATTTCCAATATTTTTCTCGTACTCTCTAAGTGGTCCCCTATATACCCGTAAAATGAATTACGCCAATTTTGAATCACCCTATATGGACCTTTTGATGAATCTTATTTTAAATACAGTCACACTTTGTTGTCATGGCGAAAGTGCCATTTTAAATGCAATGAAATGCTAAGGGAATGTTTACACTTACGGTTTGAAAATAATTAACTAATAATCAGGACAGGACACCTATAAAATGCAAACAAATATTATTTATGGAGAATGGGATAGTGTCTTCTGTATAGAGGTTAAAAAAGTATAATTTGTATTTTGATTTCTGTTGGAGGCTCTCTATACAGGGTGTCCCACCGGAAACCACTGAGATCGATATATGGCAAACTAAAATTAGGTCACATTTGAAAATTGGATATTATGTATACCGGAGTCATTGGCGGCAAGCGATCTAAAATATTTTCAACATGGACACACTTCCGCTTATACCCGAAGTAGGTATAAACTTGCTAATTTGAAATGGAACACTGCATTTGGAATACGGCGCGGAAAATAGCTATATGAACTTTAAATTGGCAATATTTCGAAAACTAAACATTTTTTCGAACAGACAAATACATTATCAAAATTGGATGTTTCCCATTGAAAAAAATTAATTTGGGGTTTTCTCAATTTCATTTCGAAACTTCTTTTTATCACTTTGTAAGTTTGATCAAAATGTCGAAATTTCATTAAAGTAAGTTCTTCGCAACAAGAAATGCGAGTCAAATTAAGTAACACATATTACCTACGGAAATACGTATTACTAATTATCAGTAAAAGATGCCTATTTAGGTCTGTGGCTTTTTCGGTCAATGGATGGTGGCAAAAATAGAACACTATTTTTCATGGGCTATTTTCCATTCATAAATAATAACGTAATTTTTTTAACTGCTAAACTTATATTTTTGGGATTGGTGTTAGATATTTTAACCTTATGCCCTGTTTGTCATGATTTAATTTTAATCTACTGTTAAGTTTAGTTTTAATTTTTATTAATGACTGACTACATCCCAATGACGACGCTGTGATTAACTTAAATTGGTTCAACTTCAATAAACTTAAAGGTGAAACCCCCCTGTTTTCCTTTTTAGAGCTCTGAGGATGACTTAAATATAGTCGAAGCGTCGGCCTATGAAAAATAGTGTTTTGTTTTTGCCACCATCTATCGACCGAAAAACCCACAGACCTAAAATAGGCATATTTTACTGATTGTCTTCACGGTCACTAATTAACCACAATATTAATAATTATTCTAGTGCCTGCAACTGTAGCTTTCTCCATAAAATCTAAAATTACTCAAAAACTTAGACTTGGGTTTTGAATATTATACATGAAAATATTTGGAATTTGGAGTAGAATTAAATGTTATAATATATAGTGTTCCATTTAAAATAAGCAAGTTGATACCTACTTCCGGTACAACCCAAACTGTAGCAAAACGTCTTGTATACGTATTGTACGTATAAATATTTTAGATCGCTTGCCCCCAATGACTTCGGCACACTGTCTAATTTTTACATTTCCTCTAATTTTTAGTTTGCCATATATCGATCGCAGTGTTTCCCGGTTTACCGTTTATCTTTTTCTATCTTATTGTCAGTCTGTATAATTCTATGATTACCGGAGTTTTAAATAATTACGAAGCAACAGGTATTTGCGCAATGTTAATTAGGCAGATTACCTTGAAAAACATTGCTGCCGTATTTCTGAGTTTTTAATAACAATTAATTTCTTTTACTATTTTTTCTGTACTCCTATTACAGCGCCAGACAACACCTCCAGAAAAATTACGCCAATTTTGAATCACCCTGTATGCAATAAAAAGTACGGCCTTCCATTTAAAAAAAGGTGAGTTTGGTCTGCCACTTGCATTTGAGGCATCCTGTATGAATTGATGCTATCTTAAGCCATGAAGTTTATATGTTGACTCAAATAAATGCCACTGCTTTGAGGGTGTGAATATGGTCCAAAAAAAAAAAACAAGAAAATTACTGGATTAATTTATTATACTGTCTTTCTTTATTTTTGCCGTCCGTTTAAACGGACTCTATGCAGGTGGAAACAAATAATACTTAGATTTTAAAACATTTATTTAAACCAAAATAGCTAATTAACTTGTATGAAATTGTTTGAAACAATGTTTTGGATGAAGGGCTAGATTACATTTTCAGCAAATAAAATGAGCCTTTTTTTCCTCACACTTCACATCTCTGCCCTGTGTCATTATATTCAATCAAATGATCTCTTTCATCAAACCTTATTGTCTTTCCAGCAAACCAATCACCCTTTTTTGTCAAAATCCGTTTGATATTCGTAGAATTCTCTTTCTTTTTTATTCAGAAATTTTGTATCTAGAACAGGACGGAGGCTTGTTCTTACATCTTGAATTGTAGAAGTTGCACAAAGCGGCGGATGAAAAATAATTATATTGTAGAAGCTCTTCCAGAGATAAACTGTATAGGAAAATATTGGAATACGATCACTTGTACTATTGTAAAGGGACCGTCATAAAACTTCCATAGAATTAATGGAAAGTACTGTACGCATATAGTCCGGTATAACGGACCTAATAAAAATAGCTCAAAAAACAAAATTTTATAAAAATAAATATTTCTAAATATTTATTGATAAAACAAAAACTAATAGTATTTTATGAACAACTGTCAAAAAAATCAAGCAAATAATTGAGAGTTTGTTGCAAAAAATTTGAAAGTGGTATATTTTATAGATTTGACGTTTTAAATAACTTTATTTATGGAGTTTTCAGATGAAACAGGTATGCAATTTATTTTGTAATACTTTTCATTAGACCAAGACTATTTTTGCTTTTAAATGCCAAGCTAATAGAGAGTGTTGTATAAAGGCAGTTTTGAATTGAAATTTAATTTTCGGAAAACATTTTAATAGGTAATCCCGTGAGATCCAGTTATTTAACATTTTTCAGTAGATATGACATATGTGTTTTAGTCTTTAAGAGACGACACTGCAGATTTTTGTGGTTTTCATAAATATGCCATTTTTAAGAATGATTACGCCGTAATTATAAGCTTAAAATATTGCTACATTCGGTTGAGTTTTAGGCAGCGTTTGTCGTCAGATCCGTTAATGTCTAGCATAAGGAAACTGGTATTAAAAAACGTGCTGGTTTTCCAAAGAAGCACTTGAAATGTTTCATGAACGTACTTTC